AGAGGCACACATATCGACTTTGATCTGTGTAGGATTGGTCGTCGTTGTGCTGCTGTCAGGGCTGGATTGTGGCCGCAACTCCACTCCGAAATGAGGTGGCGAGGCACGCAGACCATTATTTGCCGCTAATTAAGCTCACCGCGTGCGCGCACAAACCCACACACAACACATACATACAATCGGATATATTTACAGATAGAATTTACAACGAACTGAGCGCAGCGAAAAATACCACTTGCCAATTCCAGCATAACACGCGTTCCACCGCGCCTCATCTGAAGGTCCTCTGGCGAGCGACAACACGGGTGCGCGCCGACGGACGCACGGACGGATTAACGTACCGAGATACAACAGCAACAAAAGCACTTTTGTTGCACTGCGTTTTTTGTATTTTTTGTTGTTGTTGTTGTTTTTGTCCACTATCGATTGGGCAGGCGGCTTCTGGAACGGCTTTGGTGGCAATTAATTCCACCATAGCAGTCCGAAAACTGATAAATGCTGTGAATGTGCGCGCTGCGCTTGGCCGGTGAATCGATGAATTGATGGCGGGTCGCGCGGCGCTTACATACATACATACTACTTGTATGTATGAGGACGGTCCGATAATGACTTAGCTTTACTAACCCATAGTTTCGCTATTGGAAAATAAATTTTCTCTCGTGTAGTGTGATTTCGTAAGCAATTGTTGTCAAAATGTGTGAAATAAGTCGAGAACGCGTGCAACAAGTCGAGAACGTGTAAAGAAAGTCGAGTTCGCGGCTTAAAAAACCGTAGGAGAGCTCGAAGAGTCGGTAATTCGCTTCTGGTTTTTGAAAAAAAAAAAAAAAATCGTGGAATCAATATCGACTTTAAGGTAAGTTGGTCGCACGTCGGATTTTGGTCAATCTACTTTAACTGTAATGTTTAAGCGCAGGCTGAAGTAGTTCTGATGTTACTTAGTGACCGTCGATAAAACATGAATCCACTAGTACTCACCAGAAACGAAGCGACAGTCCAAACAGTGGACTTCATCGGAGAACTTGCTCCGTAGGAGTTAAAAGACTGTCATAATGTAGAATTATTGGTGACTTCGTGACTGGCGATAAAACATGTATCCACTAGTACTCACCAGAAACGAAGCGACAGTCCAAACAGTGGACTTCATCGAAAAAATTGCTCCGAACGAGGCAAAAGACTGTCATAATGTGGAATTATTGGTGACTTCGTGACCGGCGATAAAACATGAATTCACTAGTATTCACCAGAAACTAGAGGACAGTCCAAACAGTGGTCTTCATCGGCGAACATAACGATCACATTGCTATTCTATACGGAACTATTGGGCGCTTTCAAGCACCATTTGGCGAGAACTAAAGTTCTCTTCCACCAAGACAAGGCACCGGCTTAGTACTCCGCGCCCACCTTGGCCAAATTGGTCTGACCAAGCTAAAAACTCCTGAGCATCCAAAGTATTCTCAAGGTTTGGCTCCGTACGACTTCTTTTAATTTTCTTTGTCACAATAAAAATCATTCCTCGTCGAATGTGAAGAGTTTTTCTCCGACGGGTTGATGAATTTGTAGAATCTGCTTCTTCCATATTGGCGTAGACACCGCTTACGCAGTTAGACCCGAGTTTACAGCGGCAAGGCGGTTTTCATCTTTCCATTGATGGTGTTTTTTACGTGGCGGGTTTCAAACCCAGCGCCTTCCCACTTTAGTTCGCCTTTAAGCGGATGTTTTTTGGCTACTTGGTGTATACTTGATCTAAGACCGAAAGTCGTGAACTGCTTGAGCCATGTGTAAAACAATCGCTTTTGGCCACTCCCAAGTGAATGTCGCTAAGAAAACCTACCTTACTTGCGTGAACTTCTACACATGGCTCCATCCTCCGATAACTGTACAATGAGTGGTCTCGAAAATCGCGAGCTAAATGTGGAATATTTTCAGAAATAAAATATCATGCTTCCCAAAATTTTCGTCAGCCTTTGGTAAGCCAAATAGTTATTGAACCAACCTCGTATGTGTGTTGTTATATGTTATGTTGCAGCATCAGGCACCAGTCGTCGTCGTCGTCGTCGGCGCGTTAGAGTCGTGTTTTGGTGATTTTAACTCACATTTCATTTCATTCGATTTGGACATTTTCATCTGATTTCAGTTCACTACAGCCGAATGGCGAATTAGTTTCGTTTGTACGACTCTTGTATTTATTGTTGTTGTTGCTGTTATTCCCTGTAGCACTCGTACAGGACGAGGCAGAAATTCCTCAACGGCTCATTGTGGTCGCATATGGCCATTGATTAGCTGTTGCTGCTGGTTTATATGTCCAGTCGCTTTGGGTCGGTATTCGCCACCGTTTGGGGCATGGTGCAGCATGTGCTCGGCACTGGTTGTTGTTGTATTTCGTGCGTATTTCTCATTATTTATTTCCTTATTTCCTTGTTGGAGTTGAGTTGGGTCATTTTGCGCGCGCGGCAATGATGTGTCGTCCATCGATAGATCGATCTGTGGCGGTGTGCAAGACTCTTAAATTAACAATTAACTGAAGTTTTGTGCAAACTTTCGTTGCCGGTTGCCAGTTTAACGCTTTGTTTACTACCTACTTGTACGAATTACAAGTATTTATGCGGTTAAGCCACGAAAAAAATACTCCAGAAAATAAGAAACCCGTGAATGCTTGTTGGTTGCTTCACACTTTATCCCTTGCTAAAACCACATTGATCCTTTCTTAAGATAAGTGGTGGGTAACTTTGAGCTCCAGTGGTCCGATTTGTAATTACGCTTGGTAGCTTTCTCTTTGAAAGAAGCTTAGTCTCTGAGTTTTGTCAGCATATATTGTGAAACACTTAAAAGCTTGAATACCGTTGCGTCTCTGAAGTGGTGATTCAGATTATCTGCTCTGATTTGTTATAGATTTGCCAACTGAAGCTATTAATGCTAGAATAGCAACATGAACTCACTTAATTTATACTAATTACCATCCACAGAGCTCGCAGGTACTATAAGAACTCCAAATCTTGGTACAAGCGCTAAAAAGAACTTCCTTTCTTGGATTTTTTCCTTTAATATTGGTATGGGCTCCATGTTTTTCGAAATATCTTTATATTCTTGTCCAAGTATTCTAGTGGAAAACACCAGTCAACATTGTGAGTCTTACGTTCATTCCTTTGAAGCCACACTGAGAACACATCTATTTTGCAACGAAGGTCTTTTGAAGATTCAGTCCTTTGAATTTCGACATAAAAAAGATAGAATGGCATAGCTGTTGCAAAAATTTCAGCAATCAACTTCCGTTGAATCCCTCAGATAGAATTACTCCGTTTAAGCAGAAGTGTTCTATTCTTTAGTCTAGTTCAGTCGGCGGAAGATTCTTTCGTGGTCTGTGAAAATATTTCAGTATCTCGGTTTGCAAAATGGAAGGTGAGAGCATCTTTGCGAAGGCTTACTTCGTGGACTGTGGCAATATACACGTCTCTTTTTTGTGTAACATGGAAAGTGAGACCGTATATTTTACAGTTTTTGTTCGGAGTTTCGGAAGTTAGGGTTTTTTTTTATCTCAAAGTCTTACATCTATTCAGGGGGCTGTGCCCCCCAATGGAGAAGAAATAAAAATGATGAAACAGCATTTTGTGATGGTTTTCTATTTATTTTATCTGTTTTATTATTGTTGTTGTAGTACCTAAATCCCTTTCGTAGGAAAGCGTATAATCAACTGTACGTAAAGTCACTTAACGGTAGGTCCAGGATACGGGCTGTTTCTACAAGTTGAACCAAAGAAAAAAGCGTGTAAAGCATGCGAGGCACGATGCGTGGTTAGTGCCATGCGGCTCTTTGCTTGCAGGACATATGTTTAGTATGTCAGTGTCTTATTTGATCTATCAACAGGTGTTGTTTCGACTCCAAAAACATATTTCATTGGAAGAGTCAATGAAAATGTTAAAATCTCCACTGTAAAGGGCGATATACACGTCAAGCTAATTCCCACCACAAATTGGATGCAATGATCTAACCCTGTTTTTAACTTGGTTATCAATAGAGCAACTCATAGCAGGGCTGCTCTATATCCCTCTGATCCGTGTCCGGGATCTCATGGGAGTTCTTCGGCAAATTCTTCTTCTACAAGCTGTACAAAGGTGTACAGTGGATGGAGCCACCCTAAAACTTGTACTGCCAACGACATTAGCCACCTAGTTCGCACACTGCGCCGCTCCTTCAGCTAAGTGGCTAGCAAAGGACTTCCACGGTCTCGAGGAACTCAAATTTTCAACATGACTCCCAGTCTGCTGAGCAATCTTCATCTGTACATCACTCTCTTAATCCCAGGGTTGCTACAACTTTACCGTCTCTATTTTATCTAGGGTTCTATTAGCTTTTGGAGCCAATTTTCTACCAATCAACTCACTTATCTTTCAAAATGACTCAACTGCTGATATTGTCATAATCTTTTTTTGGAATTTTCCCTGTCTTCAATTTTGAAAGCACCGGAGCAAAGCTTCTTGAAAGCGGTACGTACTTTAGATATAAGAAAATATAAAAACTATTTCTCATAAATGACTTAGAATTTGTAAGTCTCTTCACTTGGGAAATTATTCAAGTCATACAGCCGTAAAGCGTTTGATACTCAATTTCAAAAGCCTTGGCTGAATAAAATCCGGGGCGATACCGGTAACGTAGAAAGATGTCGATACGTTTCTTCATAAACGAGAGGAGCTATCAAACTTTTATAGTACGTGCAATCACAGCTTTCCCCTACTTTATTTATGACGTCTCGGACTAATATATATTTCTGTCAAATTCTCTCCAAAAAACGGGATAAATTTGTTATCTGTATTTACATATGCAGTTCTTGAAGGTAAATTCCGTTCGGCGTGCCAAAACGTAGTTGCCATATTTTTTAGAGAATTTTATGATTAATCTAAGGAAGGTCTACTGCAGCTTTGAACTTCCTGAGCTTGTATCTGTACTCTTAAAAGAACTTGAAATAATATATAATAACCTTCTAACCTATCTTTTCCTGATTACAGACACTCCCGCACCCACCTAGCGCCAGCTAAGTGGTTTACGTGCGACAAGTGTGAATTCAAGGCGCGCATCAAGGGCCATCTCAAGCGTCACATGCGCACACATACTGGGGAAAAACCCTTCCAATGTCGCTACTGTCTCTTCCGCTGCAGTACTTTCGACAATTTGCGTAAGCATGTGCTCAAAACCGGCAAACATCCAGGAAAATTCATCTACGAATGCGAGCATTGCAACAACGTTGGGCAAAAGAAATCCTTCAAAACCAATTCATATCACGAGTTTCAGGCGCACAACGCAGAAATGCATGGCAAGAGAGAGTAGGCTGCATAAGTAGCACAGAGGTAGCGGTAAGGAACGTGTTCTAGTCAATTGATGCCAGCTATTTATATTATAAGGTAAGTGCCTGCGGGCCAACTATCGGTTAAGTCACCGGTTAATTACCCAATAGCGTTACAAGAAATTTCTTGTAAAGTTGTTGTAAGTTTTATAATACCGGATGCAATTTATTAGAGCTATGGCAATCGTGTTGCTGGGTTAGAGCAGCAGGCCAATCAATTTCTTGCGCTTTCCAGGTGTCGCTGCTAGAACTGGTTAGAAACTGGGCTAAACGTCGCCATAGCGCCATCTAGTAGTGAGTTTAGCAATGGATTCGTCGTCTATATTTATTTACACTTTATCTTAGCCGTCACATTATTTAGCTCGCCACCGCTAGCTGTTGCGACACTTTTTTACCTCAGCGAGGTTTGTGCCATTGTTAACTTCTAATCGGTTTATTTGGAGCAAGAACCTTGAATCAAGGTGTGTCTGTCGTTGCGCAAATTTTCTATAACCTTACAAAATTTCATAGTAAACGGCAATTTTCGTTTTTTTCCTAGCATATGAACTGTAGAGCCAAAAATATTATAAAACAATATTTTAAACCTTAAAAGGATATTTTTATTTTTTGTAAAATTGTCTGCAACTTAAATATTGATACAATTTACACACCCTGTTTGGAAGGAATAATGGGAAGTGGCAGGTAATCAAAAACATGAAAGTTGTCATTTTCCATTACAACTTTTCTGATACTTTTTGTTACTATTTTAGCAGCTCACTTCAAACGCAACAATAAAATTATTGTTAGACTTCTACAAACTATTATTTTAAGGCATAAATTTTACTTTTATACCTAAATTACTTTAAAAACGTCAAACAAATTTAATTTATGAAACATCTAAGAGTCAACAACTATGTGGCATCACTGTCACAATTTGACTTTTCTCTATGTGAAGAAACGAGAAGAAATAAACGCGTCGAAACTTGCAACGAAAAAACTCCGATTTGTGTTCAATTCTTATATTTGTGTATTGTGTGTGTGAAAATTGACAATATTCATAATGAAAATAATTAATTAAATCTATAAATTAGTGCGGTAAATAAAGCTGTGCATTAGCTAAAATGATTAGTGCGATGGATAATCGGTCGTACGGTGCGATTTCGAAGGCGTCCACCGCTGGTCGCAGCGACTTTACAGCGCCAGGTAAATTGAGTAGGAAAAAAAAAACGAAAAAGCAGAAAAGCAAAGCATAGAAAAATGAAAATACTGTTGAAATGAAGTACTTGCCACAATATAAATAATTAACCAATTGTGTAAATTCCAACATAATGAAGTATGTGTCTCCAAACAATTGTATGCTATATGATAAATAACATGGGCTTATGTATGCAAATAACAACATATGTATGTATATACATATATACGTGTATGTGCAACAAATTTGATGCTAAGCATATTGTTGACGTTCATGTTTTCATTGGTAGCCAGGTGAAAGTCCAGGAGCATAAAATATGCCCAGTTGTTTGAATGGATTGAAACTTATGTAAATACACAAACGTCGTTTATTTCACTAAAATGTTACAAAAAACAATATTTTTTATGGTTCTTCATTAATTGCAATATCTTAATCATCCAGTTCATTCCCTGTTGAGCAATGTATTTTGAATTTAATAAGCGCACATTGAGTTTACAGCGGGACACTCCTTGGCTGCCAACGTTCATTGACGTCCGTCCATATTTATTGAACACAGCAAATTAATTCTAGGCTGTTTTGGTACGTAAAGCAATTTAGCAATTGGCTTAATTGGCAAATTGGGGAGGTGGCTTACCTAATTTGTGTGCGACAACGAAGGTTTTAGGAAAGTAATTGACACACAAGAACTAGGCGCACATAAGAGCTGCTTGTGTTGTCAACTATTGTGAGAAGTGTAAAAAATTCAAGTGTCATTCTAAATTTATGACTGGCGATTTATTAAGGCGAAAATGGGTGATAAACATTTCCAGAAAAATTATTTGCATTTAGTTTTGTTGTAATTGAAATAGGCCACACAAATATAAACAGGAGGAACTGTCACAACAAGAGTTTGTTTTGCCTTTCTTTTGTCATAAAAATAATATTTATATATAATACAACTCTTTGCCGTTAAATATTTGTGCCAAATATAATATGTAAATGGCTTTCATAAAAAATAAGTAGCAAATAAAATACTGCCAAACAGCGAACCGCACTTAACACTGTCTTTTGCCATTCTCTGTGGCATGCTTTGCACTTTTCACCTGTATATATTTTAACTATGCTTGCTTACTGCTGTGCTATTTTATTTATTTTTGTCTGTCTTATTGGCTACAATTTTTTATTTTATTCTTATTTCTTGCAGAATTAACTCCTGAACAGCAGAAGCTGCTAATTGAGCTTCGTCGAAAAAAGCAGGAACTTTTGCTGGAAATTCAGGTAAGTGCTTTTGCTATTATTAGCATAAAACTTGAAATTTTTCGTTGTGCTTATATACTCTTCCATAGTTCATTAACTCCAATTGGCTCATACAAAAGCGTGTCTTGTCTTCCTGCAATTAATTCGTCATTTACTTCTGCTGCTCTCAAATACACTTCGTTTACTGTCAAAATGAGTCATATGTATGTGTAGTGATCAATGCGAAAAGATTTGTTTTGCTTGGCGCTTTGTAGCTCATTTCAAGTCATGTGCAGATTAGCTGCTCAGCCGCGCCTTGTAAAGCCAGACTTTGCTTCTTTGGCTTTGGTCAGACTGCAGTGCAAAGTCGCTAACGCTTTGTTTTGTTTTCTAATGTCAAACGTTATTTTTATTGTAAAAAAGACACTGTGTTTTTTAATTTGTTTCGGAAATAGTTTCCATAAAGCAAGTAACGCTGCCACAGCACTTTTTATTGGTTCCTCTTAATTTGTGAATACGTCATGTTTTTTTCTTATTGTAATTTTTTCGCTACCCCGCTTTTCTTTGTTTATTTGTTTTGCTTGTTTACTAATTGAGTGGCGAATTCGCTGAAAAGTTGAATTTGTGCAGCTTATTTGCATACATGCTTTATTGTATGTTTCCAATTACTCAATGACACACTTCTTATTTCTTAGACAGTTTGGCTTCTCTTTTACGGTGTTATGTGGGCAGAGTTATAAAACTTTATTAGACCCTAAACAAGGTGTATTAAGTTTGCTTTGAAGGTTGTAAAATCCTGAAGCCTCGGAGGCCCTATGAAGTGTAAATACATACTATAAACATGTATATGTACATATATAAATGAGCAGCAAGACGAGATGAGTCGAGTTTTATTTGATTTACCTTTGCCCGTCCTTCATATATAGGCGAATTTTGCTCAGTTTTTGGGGTATCGTTCTAAAATTTTGTGCACGTCTTATTTTTCCCAAACAGCTGTTTATTTGCCAGAAACGCCAATATCGAACTAATCTACCATATAGTTGCCATATCAACTGTACGATAAAAATAAAGCTCTGGTATGGAAAATATATTTATTTGATGATATATTTTCACGATAATTGTGCAATAATGTCAAAAGATATTATTAAAATCGGAAAACTATAGCATATAGCTGCCATTAAAACTGGTCGATGAAAATCAGGATGAAGTTCTTTTCTAAACTCTTGTATGTTATAAGAAATCAGCTGTGAAACGTATTATTGTAGCTTAAAAGCAGCCGCAGTGAACGTTTTCATTAAATTTTTTTCCACTATATACCTTATCACTTAACACAACAACAAAATACATGCTAAAAACCGCAATCACGTCGTTTACTCACGCGACTTGTGTTTTTTTTCCAAATATATATTACAGTGGGCGTGAGAATTACGTATTTGTCGGTGAGACTTACCGGCGTTTTAAATTAGAAATAATAAATTTTTAAAATAAACACCAGCTGTTTGGGCGGTTAGCGCGTGCCTAACTAGTTATGCAAATTTGTAACAACGTGCACCATAAAAAGTCACCGATTGCAACCAGTTTTTGTTATAATATTAGTGATATATATACATAGTTGCACGTGCTGACGTCCGAAAGCGAGTAAACAATTTTTGTTTTTTTTTTTATGTTTTTTGCTTGCATATTATCACTATTCACTTTAAAATTGTTTTTCGAGTTGCATTTTACCTTTTTTTTTACATTTGCTTAGCAGACATTTTCGGCTAGCCGCTAGCACATGGTTTTTTATTTTGCCGGAAAGTCAACTTGGCAGTTGTAAGCGCGCTTTGACAATTAAATTGTCCAATTGTCCGAACGGTAGTTCTCGCCTGATTTTAGTGCTAATAATTAGTTGTTCGTTGCCAAATTAGTTAATTGTTCGTTTAGTCTTCCGCGTAAATATCCAAATGAATATGCTCTAGTGTTATAAATTGTAAAAAGTATGAAAGTAATGCAAAAGTTAGTCTTTCGCAGAAAAGTGAAATATACCATACAGGTTAGTAAATTTTGATTTCACTACAATAATAAATGGTTTGTAAATATGTGTCTATAATCGCATTTAAATATTGATGTGTTAAGTATAAACAAAACCACCAAATTAGCTGGTGCTATCAGCGCATTAAGTATGTCAATGTCGTAAGAAAAATAATTGTATTTTTATTTTCTGAAAAATTGTAATAAACCGCTAGTGCAAAGATAAGCTTAACGCACTTGCAAACATACATATGTATGTATGTGGTAGATACGAACAAGGAAAATTCATTATCACCGCATACTTAAAAATTAATTTAAAAAATTGTTTTTAATCAAAATATTTTGTTATTGTTTTGGTGCTAGTGTTGATAATTTTACGCAAGAGACTATGTCAATGTTGGAAAAGTGCTTCTTGAACCTGTAGTGACCTATATAGAGTGCGACAAGGAGGCGGAGTTTCTCTAGAGAGAGGTTGATCATATCTTTAAACCTTGCAAGGTTTTATCCTACCCAGTAGTAGCTTGGCGTGGTGCATTCTTTCTGCCTGCTGCAATTGCCGTTCTTTCCCTACCCATTTTTTGTTGATCATTCATATATGTACATATGTATATGGCCTCCATGGTGGCCCTTTTCAGGGTCCAAAAATCACAGCAAAATTATACGATTTGGAAAAGGAAGATAAAATCATGAAATAATAAGTAATATACGGCCGATTTCAAGTCGTGCAGAGTAAATGAAGGGGGAATGGTTACATTTTTAAGGGTATAAAACAGTTTCCGGAAAAAACTAGGAGTCCTATGGAAAAAATTTACATGGCAAAGTTGTAGGTAATAAAATATCTACAATTTTCATACTAACAACTTTTTCACATAACCTTAAAAATTATGTGAAAATACTCAAGTTTCTGGATTATGTTTTTGTATTAAAAAAATATATATATAATATGTAATATAGCAAATATACTCAAAAAATTCGAAAAAAAAACCGCAACGATTCAAAGTTGATTCTTTTTCTATTTCTACTAATACTTAGTTGTAGCAGCCGTAAAATTTGTCTAAAAGCTATTTTTTACCTATATGAGAGTCTAATATCAATTTGTTTTTAAGAAATATTTATTTACACAACAATTTCTTTATCAAAATAAGGAAAAATGTCACAAAGTTTGAAGCAACTTCACATGCGCCTAAAAGTATGCTACTCAATTTGTCTTAGTTTGGTGTACTAACGCAATTGCATGTGTTTACATTCTACAAAGAGAATTTCATTAATAAAAATTTTAAAGAGAGTGTCTATAATCATATTGTTTATGGCTAGAATTCGCACAATTCATTTTCAAAAATTTTCGCTAGCGCTGATAGCGAGTGAGTAATTTGTTCATTTGTAGTAAAAATTGTTTACTGAGAAGCTTGCAATGATGAATTAATTAGTATCCATGCGAATTGATGCTTCATATGCGCTGCGCGTATGTCTCTGAATGAGTCATATTTATTCCGTTAATGAAACACAATAACGCTTAGTAATACTTATAGTAGGTACTTAATGTTTTGGCAGATCTTTATTTAATATATCTTTATGATTTTAATGTCACATTTCCGTTAAATGTTGAGGTTTTTCGTTGAAGATGCAAAATGGAAAAATCTGGGAAATTTTTATATTTCTGTTCCCAAGCGCTTTGGATTAGTTAAAAGCTTATTAGCGCATGACTGTATGATATTGCACATCTCTTTGCATTTTCCCTCGTATACATTCAACCAGCACCTTTACCGAACTCTCTTTTAGTGGATCAAGTTTTATAGGATGATGATATTCAAACTGAACGATCAATATCAAGTTCTTCTGAGAAAACTTTTTTAGTTGACGAAGTACATACATATATTCTAATATGTTAGCACATAAATACTATTGTCCAAGGCAGCACTATAATCTCCGAAGATATTGTTCAAATTGGTCCACTATAGCATATAACTTTCATACAAACTGAGCAATCTAAATCGAGTTCTTCTAAGGAAACTTTTTTTATTTGACGAGATATCTTCTCGAAATTTCACATGGTTAATTGTCCAAGACAATACCATAATGTCCCAAGATATCGTTCAGATCGGTCCACTATAGCATATAACTTTCATACAAACTGAGCAATCAAAATCGAGTTTTTCTACGGAAACTTTTTTTATTTGACGAGATATCTTCTCGAAATTTCACACGGTTAATTGTCCAAGACAATACCATAATGTCCCAAGATATCGTTCAGATCGGTCCACTATAGCATACAGCTGCCGTACTAACCGTTGGGTCAGGATAAAGACCGTGTATGGAAAACTTATTTATTTGACAAGATATCTTCTCGAAATTTGGCACGTATAATAGTTCAAGGCAATGCCATAATGTCGTAAGATATTCTTCAGATTGGTCCCCTATAGCATATACATATGTATGTAGCTGCCATACAAAGTGACCGATCGAAAACAACCTAAAATACTCTTTAACCCTTTTATGCTTAAAGAAATGCAAATATGAAAGGAATGATAGCTGCAATGTAACCAAAGTTAACTTTTTTCTTATTTTACTCGAGTTATTGCATTTCTAAATATATTGTTTTCATATTATTTAATTTTTATTTTGTTTTGTCGTTATTTTTCTAATACCAATAACCTCTGATAGCCCACCATATTCCACTTGTTTGTCTTCTAATCAGAAGATCTTGCCACCCACATACACTCTCTAGTTTACTCTATTATCATTTTACGCTCTTTTGTTACTTTCTCTCACTCTCCGGCTGGCTATTCAGCGTTTCACACTCGCAATTATAATGCAACATTTCAACAAAATAAACCCTGTCGTTTGACGCGTCCAAATAAATATGCCAAATATTATATTTACATTGTACAAACTAAGCCCCTTTAATTTAGAGAGCATTTGACATGTATGCAAAACTTTTGACAACCACACTGTGTGATAATTTTCCATTGATAAGATAAATAAATTGCTAAATACTAAAAGCAAACAAATGAGCGCGTGTATCTTCGCCAAAAATACAAAAAAAAAGTTACTGATCCATCTCAGCGTAGCGGTAATAGCAACAGTTGCCAAGAGTAGTTGGTGGCGCTCCACGAAAGAAAAACAAAAACCCCAAAGGCAAGTCAAGTCAACAACAAGCGCATACAAAATAAACACCGTCGTGCAGCGGCGAGAAGTCAGCTATTCAGCCGTTAATTAAAACAAACTTTCGGCAGCCAACGAGAGCGTATGAGCGTATCAAAACAAAGGCAGCAATCGATAGAGACGTCTCTTTAGTTTTGGTCATTTGCTGACTGCGAGAGCGCGCTCACCAATTGAGGGCTGCCTGGCAGACTGGCTGGTTGGTCGGGTTGTCATCTGTTTGTTTATTTGACTGTAGTTGCAGCAGCAGCGAGACCTGCTGAACGTTTCAGCTGTTATTTTTGACGTTACGATTTCAGTCTGAGTTCGAGAATCTAAACAAAATGTTGACATGACGGTCGATAGCCGCGCGCGTAAGCAACAAAACGTTGATAAAATTTGCAAATTTCCAAAAAATAATAATAAACAGCAAATAAGTGCAATAGTTGAATGAAAAGTTAGTTAGTGTATACTTTATAAATTTTTATAAAAAAAATTCTTTGCAAATTGTTTGCCAGCTTTTTGGTAAAAAAGGGTTTTCCGTTGAAAGTGCGGCTGAAGTGTTGGCTTAAAAGTGTAAAGTGAAAAGAAAGTGTAAAAATTCTTTGGCAAAAGCAGTAAGCATTACATATAGTGATTATATAGTGTGACAGCAGCAACAACAACAAAATTTGTAATGAAAAGCAATAGCATGATGTCTTAAGTGCCCTTCGATTTCTTTGTTGTCGCGAATTTTTTACACTTACATACATACAAATATATGCACAGTATTTGCTATCGTTTGTTGTTGTTATTTGGCTGGCTATATTTGTGTAGCCATCGACCGCCGACCTAACGACCGAAGGAGGAATGCAAACGCAAGTCTGCTGCTAAGTTTTGTTTTGACGGCTCGCAAACTATCTGTAAAACAACGAGCAAATCATCATTTAATAGTTAAATATGGTTGTGTGTGTGCTTCGCTATTCTTATTAAGTGGTTTAGCGTGTGAAGTTAAGTACACACTACGTATTATCTTATCATCTGCGCTGCTTATGAGTTTAGTGCATAAAAACAAAAAAAAAAATTTAAAAAAAATCTGTTTGAACTTTTCCCTTACAAAATTCGATTTTTGATTAAGCAGACTCGTTGCTTGCGCTATGTTAATTTTATTATATTTTACCATATACTACATATTTACATACTTATGTATGTTTTTGGTGAACTTCAGCCAAATTCTCTATTTGATTATTTTTTGCTTTATCAACAAAGGGCAACAACACTTTTAGCGATTTAACCGGTCACCCAAGCAACTATATACTATGTATTTGCATTGTGACGAGTTCGCACACTCTCTACTCGCCAGGAAAAAAAAATAGAAAAATAATAAGAAAAGATTTTTCACATGCCTCGCATACAAAATGAATTGTGTTGTTCTCTTGCTATTTTTACGCATTTTTGCATATTTTTCGACGGTGCAGCCCAGCAGCACTACAAGCCGGAGCTTTTGGCCATTATACACGGTCTACAAGGGAAATACCTACTATATAGTATTTTTGTGTGATTTTAATAATATCATTGTTGCTTTTAGCAGGAACGCAGCAGCTTGCTTATTTGTTGCTGGCGCTGGCTCGAGAGTGAAATTTCATGTGTCGCCGGCCACAATTTGGATAGTCTGCCTTTGTTGCGTTGCTATCTGCTTCAAAATCGCACATGTGTTACACTTATAAAATTTTTTGCCTGGGCATTATAATGAAATTTTACGTTTATAAGTGGCTACAAATATATGGCAATTGATAGCATATTAGCTACGGCGCTAAGTGAACAGTGGGTTCCCAAATAATACATACATATGTACATACATATGTATAGCTGTGGTATTAAGTACAAGTGTGGTTTTTCTACAAA